GCTACCACATTTGCTTTACCTGAATGGTATTTCAGTTCAAACTCGTAGTCCTTTAAGAATTCCATCCATCGTCGTTGCCTCATATTTAGTTCTTTCTGGTCGAATAAGTACTTCAAACTCTTATGATCGCTGAATACGTCAAACTGCGAACCATACAAATAATGCCTCCATATTTTCAGCGCAAACACAATGGCGGCTAATTCCAGGTCGTGCGTAGGATAATTTTCTTCGTGAGACTTCAATTGCCGAGAGGCATAAGCTACGACCATGCGATCTTGCATCAGTACACATCCAAGTCCTTTCAAGGACGCATCACAGTACACTTCGAACTTCCTGGTTGGATCAGGAATGGTAAGGATTGGAGCACTAGTCAATCTATCCTTCAGCTCCTGAAAACATTCTTCACAATCTACAGTCCACTCAAAAGGCACATCCTTCCGAGTGAGGTGAGTGAGAGGCTGTACCAATCGTGAGAAATTTTTAATAAATCTTCTGTAATAGCCTGCTAGTCCCAAGAAACTTCGTATTTCATTCCTAAAATATTCTGACTTTCAAAACAGTCTTCCCAACGTTTAACAGTGAGGGTTTCTCAAAGTTCCTAAGCAATAAACTAAAAACTCCATCCAACTTTAAATTCAATTCATTTAAATAATTACCTCAAGTTTAAATAACCTATTTTTGAGAAAAATTATATTTAATAATTACAAAATGACATCTAAGTAAAAACTGTTAGTTTAATTTTAATTTAACGATAACAAAATAATTATAAGAAAAAAAAAGTACAACTATAACCAACCTTCCTCGGCAAAAAAATTAATTTATTACTTTTTTAATAAAAAATTACGAATAAGTTGTCGTTTTGCAAAAAATTACGAATCTATAGCACCCAAACACGCCCACATGGGGCGTGTTCTAATGGAGAGAGACACGTCCATGTGGGGCGTGAGCTTGTGAAGGAAACACGCCCAACGTAGGGCGTGTGTGGTCACGCCTAAGATAAGGCGTGTTCAGTGGGTAGACACGCCCAAATATGGGCGTGAGTGACTAAACTGACTGCTATTTAAACACCCACCCCCCTACACACTCTTCACAATTCTGTCATTGTTATGCTAAACTCTCTGATAGTTTGCACTTGTTTACTCATATTTTGTTTTATCTTTTAAAATTTTGATTTTAAAAATGAGTGCGAATTCTGATACTATTCGTGTTGTTCTATATTTTAACGGTAGGAAAGAAGAAGGTCGTCGTGGTGTTATTTTTGTAGGGGAGAAAATGCCATCACGTATTAAACGAAACTCAACGGTTGCTGAGCTGCATCAAAAAATACGTCAAAAATTATGTCTTCAAGACAACCAATTGATCACTCTTGTCACGGCAAGGTTATGGCAATGTGAACAATACATTAGCTTGCAAGTGGTCGATGACGAAGACATCGATATGGTAATGGAAGAGTTCTTGAACCAGTGTAGAAAGGATTTCTTAGAGTTGTATGTGGATACTACAACCGCGGAGGAAGTTGTCATACCAATGAGGTCAGTTAGGTCTACTTCTCCTCTTAATGCATCATCATCTGTTGTTCCTGCTGTTACTGCTGTTAACATGTCTGAGGAAGATGAACATGACCCTACTTGGGTTATGGATGAGGAGTATGACAAAGATGATGAGGAAAATATTGCAATAGAGGATCGTCTTCTTTTAGAGGATGCGAGTGCATCGGACAATGACGAAGAATGTGGCAGGTCTGGTACTGAACTTCAACCATTGCATGATTTGGGGGAGTCTCGTATCGTTGTACATCATGGGACAACATCGAGTCAAGTACCAGAACATCCTGAAGGTATGCTATCAATTAATATACTGACAGTTTGGTTGTTGCAATTTTTGATTAAGAAAATAATTCAATTCTATTATTATTATTACGTAGTACATGTAGGCGATGCACCTGTTGATCCTTTTTGGTCAGAAATTCCACATTACACATATATTGATTGGGATTATCCGAGTGAGGCACAATCATGGACGCAGAGTTCGGGTTCAATCCAGGGTCCTTGGCAATTGGGAGAAAAGTTGTTTGTTAACCAACAATTTACATCCAAAAAAGAGGCTCAGATGGCAATCAAGCGCTACCTCATGAAGGAGCATCAAGAAGCAATTGTGGTTGAGAGCACTCCCACAAAATTAAGCATGAAATGTTGTGCACACGTCCAAGGTTGCCCGTGGAGGGTCAGGGTAATTAAACCAATGTATGGTGAAAATTGGAAGGTAACGAAATGGGGTGGGAAGCACAATTGCTTGAATGACCATATTTCTCAAGATCATCGACAACTTGATTCTGACGTTATTGCAGCACTTGTAGTAGGTACGTAATTTCAAATTAAAAAGCTGATTAAAATTGCAGTTGATATACCTGTTGTTCTGTTAATGTTTATATCCAGCTTTTGTAATTCGGAGATGATAAAAAAGGAACCTTCAGTGGCCATTTCGCTCGTTCAGGAGAGGATAACGCATTCATATGGATTCAAAGTTTCATATCGAAAGGCATGGTATGCGAAGCAGAAAGCAATAGCAATGTTATATGGTGATTGGGAGGAGTCCTATGCATTTTTACCCAACTGGTGTGAATATATGCTTCGTTTTTCACTAGGTTCCTTTTACAATATTCAAACAAAGGATTGTTTTGTTGGGGGGCAGTTGGTTACCGGAAAACGTGTATTTGTTTGTTGTTTCTGGACTTTCAGACAATGTTGCGAGGCATTTAAATTTTGCAAACCAATGATACAAATTGATGGCACTCATCTATACGAAAAATATAAGGGAAAGTTATTGATTGCCACAGCTCAAGATGGTAATAATGAATGTGTGCCACTTGCATTTGCCGTTGTTGAGGGTGAGACATTGGAGGCTTGGTCTACCTCCTTGCCAATCTTCGTCAGCACGTCACTCAAGCGCATAATATATGTCTAATTTCAGACCGGCATGTTAGAATATTATCGGCTGTTGAAAATAATCCCCTATGGCAGCCACCCCATGCATTTCATGTGTTTTGTATGCGACATGTTGCAAGCAATTTTAATCAATGATTTAGAAATGACAAATTGAAGGCTAGCCTGATTAATATAGGTATGTTGCACACTATGATTGGTGAATTAAATAATTGTAGTTTTTCGTTAAGCGTCAACGGTGTGTTTTTTAAATTGTTCGCAGGATATACTCCTTGCATGGTGGATTTTGAGAGGTCGCTAGCACGATTTCGAGACACAAGCAGGCAGGTAGCGGAATGGATTGATGCCATCCCTAAGGAAAAGTGGTCGCGTGCACATGACCTTGATGGACGAAGATTTGGGCATATGACAACAAACTTGGCAGAATCCATAAACAGAGTGTTAAAGGGAGCAAGAAACATGCCCATTACTGGTCTGGTAAAATTTACATACAGTAGATTGGTTCAATATTGCGTGGAAAGAGGTCAATCGGCTTGCAGACAACTTGAATCTGGTCATAGTTATTGCAAAAATGTGATTGAATCTTTGACACATAATGAATCTGTGGCAACAATGCATATTGTGCGTACATATAATGTTGATGAAATCGTTTTTGAGGTGGATGCAGGGTTTGAAAGGACATATGTTGTTAACTTTACTGCTCGTACATGCCAATGTGGACAATTTAAAGCATTTAAATATCCTTGTAGTCACGCCGTTGCTGCAGCGTTATCCATCCGTCGAAATTATCGACAATATATAGATGATGTATTCAAGACGTCAAACTTGGTAAAGGCATACTCATTTCCATGGCAACCAATCGGCAATGAGCCAGCAATTCCACCCAACAATGCAGGTCCTGTGGTAATACCAGATAACAATATGTTGCGGGCAAAGGGTCGTCCAAAGTCTACAAGAATACGAAACGAGATGGATGAGGTTGAAACTATTACATCACGTAGGTTATGTGGTCTTTGTAAGCAACACGGGCACAATCGTAGGTCGTGTCCTAACCGTGGCAATAATGCATGATATGAATTGTGGGTGTTTGTCACTTATGAACAATTAATTTGCCAATTACAATATATCGCTCTGCTTTTTTAAAATTAGCTTTTACGGTGATTGTGTGGTTTGCTTGCATATTAAGTGTGTAAATAAGTCATAAAACCAACATATACCAATTTAGAAATAATTAATTAATTTGTAAGTCCATATAATATATAAGTCACATCACAATTCTCTTACATAGGTCACTAATATTTTTCTAACCCCCTAACAATTAAATAAAGTCACAAATATTTTTCTAACCCCCTAACAATTATCTAAGTCACTAATAACTATCATATATTAATTGTTGTTAATAAAAAAAATAAACAATAAATAGGGACTTACATGAGAGAGAGACAGAGCTTCGCTGCGCAAAACCCTCCAAAAGAAATTTAGAGAGGAGGAGGAGGAGGAGGAGGTTTAGAGAGAGGATGGGAGGGTGAAAATGAGGTAAAAAAGTGAAAAACGAATTTATATACACCGCGGAGAACACGCCCTATTGTGGGCATGTCTCTCTCCTAGAACACGCCCTACTTTGGCCGTGTCTTGTTCAGAAGCTCACGCCCCACATGGGCGTGTCTCTCTCCTGCCGCACACGCCCTAACTTGGGCGTGTTTCCTTCACAAGCTCACGCCCCACATGGACGTGTCTCTCTCCATTAGAACACGCCCCATGTGAGCGTGTTTGGATGCTATAGATTCGTAATTTTTTGCAAAACGACAACTTATTCGTAATTTTTTATTAAAAAAATAATAAATTAATTTTTTTGCCAACCTTCCTCTTTTTTATTGTTTCTAAACTCACTCCTAAAGTCTAAACTTCCAACATTTCAACTCAGTACAAAGATATGACTGAATGGAGTACGGAGATACGTATTCAGCGCTTGACATGTCTAGACGAAACATGCGTTGTACAAAATAGCAGTAGATATTTGAATAATTTTTAATTAACATCTTTAAATAATTTCATTCCTACAAGTAATTTTATCTGAATAATATTTAAAAAAAAAAAAAGCTTTAAGAGAAACATTCAAAACACAAAACCCATTCTTATAAAATACATTCTACTGAAATCATTTTATAGAATTACTTATACAAGATCATAAACAATTACTTGAACCTAAAATGCTAGCATGTTAATCTTTTCACCTCATCCTCAACATAATCTGCAGTTCAACTTTCAACCTTCCTTATTAGCAAAAACAACTTCTGATCCACTGCAAACTTAACACAATGGGAAGCATGCCCTCTCAGCGTCATCTGCAGCCCACCAAACGATGCATATACCTCCCTAAAGCAAGACAAAATAATCAATTGGCAAATCTTATAAATTAAAAAATTAAAAAATACGCTAATGGATTCATGCATTTCTAAATAAAAACTTAGTAATCAGAAGAAAAAATTCCCATTTATATCAATATATAGGAAGACATTTACTTCCATATCTCAGAAATTGCATGTGGGTTATCCTGCACCAAAATGTGAACCATATTGGGTTGCATGCAATCCAATAATAAGGTTACAAAGGTATGATTTCATTTAGCAAAAAACAACTATAATCTAGTGGCAAATATACAGCTAAGCTACTTGTACGGTAGCTCAATTTGTCATATAAAGCTGGGTTTGATTAAACATTCTAGACCCTTAGGTGATATTTCTGATGAAAACAAAACAGAGGAAAACAACAATATAAAATTGTTTACATACACTTCAAGCTGAGATTTTGAACATCCATCATTTGTAATGTTATACAACCTTCCATGCATGATGTATTCAAACTTGTCTTGAATTGACACTGAGCCATCCTGGAGAGGAAATCAAAATGTACGGGCAATATCAGCTACCTTTAAGACAAATATAAATCATTCAAAATACTTTAACATGTATCTTTATTGTAGATAAAGACAAATAAACATAATCCTAACTGTCATATACTCACATAGTAACATAATGTTGCCATTAGTAATGTAATTACAGATTATTACTTAAAATACCCTGCAAATTTTTTTCTTTACTCTTAATTATAACAAGAAGAAATCCTTAACCATTTACCATTTGTTTGATCCTTTCAAAATAAATGCATTCAGAGACAAGTTTATTTTCCAAAGAGTTTACTGCATTTTACTAGATAAGACCAATCAACAGTCATTGTTTTGGACCTTTCTCCGCATGGTCAACTAAATGCAAGACATTTAATCTCATTTTACTCAGTTCCTTGTTATTCTGAATAAACCTCAATCAGGCCCGTACTGCTAAATATAGGCAAGCTACATTGGGGTAAGAGTTATTCCAATTTTCAAATCCAATGTGTGAACAACAAGTAAAATATGAAAAACTGCCCAATTAGCACCAGTAAAAAGGGAAATCCACAAAAAATGTTAAAGATAAAAAATAGTTTTTCACTGTTAGGTCTGCAAATCATCAAGTAAAAATTCACGCAGACAATAAAGATGGTATTAGAGTTAAATGAATTATGTATGAGAGCTAACTAATTTATTGAGTAAAGAAGAGAACTAAGTTTATATTGTCTATAACCACAGTAAAGCATGGAAACGTCAAGGAAAAGAGAATTAAGTTTACCTTGGTATTTAAAACAAGTGATGGAGACAAAGCCATCAAGAATCTTTCATTTTTTTTCATAGGATAAATCTCTGTATTTACATCTAGACGCATGTACATATCACGCTTCTCACTTCGTGCTACAATCCGAGAAACTACGACAGAAGACAATCATGAAACTGTAAAGTTCATGCCAACTGAATACAAAGACTAATTCAAAGGAATGAAAACACATATTCCAACAGAGAGGATTACAGAGCTACTATATCAACAAATGTTGTCAAGCATGTCAAAATCCACAGGGAGTTAACATGTATCTAAAATCACACTATCAATTCATTAAAAGAACTTTGCATATTCAAAGCACCCATAACTAATATGTAACTTTATTTATTTATTTATTTTTTTTCTTTTCTTTAAAAAAAAAAAAAAAGAGTTCAAGAAATAAGAGGTGCATACCCTTGTCATACTTTTTACCATCTGGGTCTATATCCTCAACCTTAAAAACGTCGTCAAAAAGAATCTCGCTCATCCTTCCAAGCCCGAACTTCGGGGTGCGAGCGGCGGAGCGACGGCGACGGAGATAGGGATACAGGAAGAGAGTGAGATTTGTACGCAGACGCGGAAGAGAGAAGTGAGAATTAGGACTGCCGTGCTAGGGTTTTATATTTTTATAGATATTATTTAATTTAAGCGTTAAGTGGTATTTAAAAATTGGATTTTATAATTCTAAAAAAAAAAACAAAAAAACATGTGGGACTAAATTATGTGTAAGACTTACATCAGTACAAAAATCAAAAGGTGTGTAAGAAGATTTCAATTATCATGTTGAATGAGAGAATTATAAAACTCTTAAAAATTTTATATATTTCCAACAAAAATTATATAAAAAATAGTACATAATATATTTACCATCAATTAAATTTATTATTTCTTATTATTAAATTTTAATTTTTGATTTTCGTAAATTTAACAGTTAATTAATTATTAAGTTTTAATAAATTATAATTATCAGATTGACAGAAATTAACTCAAAATTTGATGGTAAAGAATGATAAGTTTAATTGATGTTAAGTGCATCTCTCCCTTTAAAAATAACCTCTTTATTTATTTTGTTTACGGATAACAATATGAAAACAAATATTGTTTATATTTAAGTTAAACTAACATTTTGATGAAAGTTAACGCTACTCAAATTAACATCAACTATTGTTTTATGAAACATTTTCTAGAATCCCATCATTAGTAAAATTGCTCATTAACAGTTAAGATTTTTATTTTAAGAAATGAAACTCTCATCATTCAAAAAAAAAAAATGAAAATGAAAATCGTATCATATAACAACAGGGTTTCATTGATTTTTGAATGAAACTATTTATTTTACGATTTAAGTTGATACTACTTTACTATAGTTGCATGTTCACTTTATAATCTTAATTTTATTTTGTTGCTCTGTCAAATTTACAATTTTGACATGCCAATTATACTCTACAGTATAAAATTCCTATATTTAATAATTATTTTTATTTAAATATATTGAGAGTAACTTTATGATACAAATATACATAAACCAGTGTTATTAAAATCAAACCGACCCGGTCGGGTCGACCCGTGAACCGGTAAACCGGTCATATAACCGGTTTGGTTCAAGCAACGGATCGGCCATGCATCAGAACCGGTGCGACCCGGTCCGACCCGGCCGATTTTCATGAAAACCAGTGACCCGGTCGGTTAACCGGTGACCCAGCCCGGTCCCAAAAAAATTCCAAATTAAAAAAAAAATCATAATAGACATATTTAAATATATTTATTTCTTATTAACTTACATAAGCTATGTACCTACAACACTAATATTATCTTAATTATGCACTATGCAGAAAATTTCGATTTGATTTATAGTTAGAGATGTCATTTTCTGAACCTAAAGTCTCATATCACAATCATTATATTTTTGTTTGATCCTTTATTGTATAATAATATGTGATTTATTCTTTTTATATTAAATTATTTGATTTTTTTGTCATTTTTGCTTAGATAATTGAGTGTATTTATAATTTTTTAATATAATTATAAAATTGCATATAATTACCGGGTCATGCGATTGAACCAGTAACCCACTGGTTGAACCAGTGACCCAGTGACCCAATATCTCGACCGGGTCAATGACTGAGCCGATTTTAATAACATTGACATAAACTAACATATTGGTACCAGTTAATGTTACTCAAATTAACACGACTATTGTTTTATGAATCATTTTCTGAAATTCCATCGTTAATAAAATTGATTAATAACAATTGAGATTATATTTAAGAAACGAAATTGTATCATAAAGGGTTTCATTATTTTTGATTGAAATTGTTAATGTACTAACTTTCTAAGGTTGAAATATGTTGTGTGGATATAGAAGATAAGAAGTTGATGTTTACAAGGGCTTTGATTCATTATATATTACGGGTATGCCATGGTTGGGTTAGCTATGCTTTAGGGGTGGAAAACTGGAAATGAAATAAAATAGATAGCAATTAGATTTTAAAATTAATATAATAATTAGTGCTATGATTTAACTTATATTTTGGTTGATATGACTTTACTGTAGTTGTTGTTCACTTTTTTCTTTTATATTATCTTTTTTATTAAATTTTTGTCCTTTTGTTTTGTTACCTTTTATTTTTCTACTTAATACTAATAGTAATAGTTACTCTCATAATTAACTTTTTTAATATTTTTCCTTTATAAAGTTTAATTCTAATTTATTAAAATACGTTCAAGATTAAGTTATTGTATAAAGAATATTTTGATATTATTATACCAAAGAAAATTTTAAAGGTTATATAACTCCACATGAAAATGTAGATGTTAGCAATTCGTATTAGGATATTTAATGAGTAAAGGATAAAAGTTCATTTGTTTTTTAATGCTAAATTGTCTCGTACGATTTTGAGACAACCCATTCCTCTCTACCATATAAATAAAGGGTAGAGTGTGTCATTTTAAAGAATGCAAAGTTGTGTCATTTTAAGAGAGAGAAAAAGATGAATAAAGGAAGAAAGAGAGTTGACAAAAAAAATAAAAGTGTGGGTCCCACTTCTTTGTGAGAGTGAAAGAATATAAATCATGTTATTTAAAAGGATAAATATTTTTCCTATAAATAAAAGATGGGAGACATGCTTCTTAGGTTAAATTGTCTCATGAAACACGTACAAAAATAGATGGAACCCATTAAGGAATAGAGAAAAAAAAATCTCACTTATTTTTTGTATATGCATGAGACAAAATTATCTCATATATAATATAAGTGACATATTTTTCATAAAAGATATGTGATTGATGAAGGTGCTTTATTCACATAACCTAGATTGTATATATTTGCATTGACCAAAACAACTCTCTGTGGAAAATCTCTTAATCCAAGTCGTTGAATGAGATCGCTCTTGTGGGATTCTAAAGGGATTTTTTTTCATCTCCAATTGAGAATTGCAATTTGGGATTGGGAAATTCATGAGTGTTACTGGGCTAGAAAATGAGACAGCACTCAAACCAGATTAGTTGGATAATTAATGAAACGGTCAATATAAAAAAATACATTAGGCTAACATGTGAACTTGATCCTCCTTAAAAGAAATTCTTAAGTAGGTAATCTCTATACTCAGCCAATTTTATCATCATTTCCTCACCATTATAAAATATTGTTTCCCTAATAATGATAATGGTGATTGTTATTATTATTATTGCCCCAATTTCAAATCTTGCTTTAGCTTATCCACATAAAAGTATTTTTCAATTTTAATATTTAAGTAAATTTTAATTAAACATATTTTTTAGGTACTACATCAAATACAACATAGTTTTGACTTTTTAAGGGGGCGTTTGGTTGAGGAGAAATTTTTTAAATACTAGAGAAATGTAATTGATAGGGAAATGGTTGGAAAGTGAGTTTGGTAGGAAAATGTAAAAAAAGTTGTTTGGTTGAGTAAAATTTTACCAGGAAAATTATGTGAAATTTCGGAATGTGTGTTTGGTTGAAGATAAAATATTGATGTGTAAATTTAGTAAAATTACAAAATAACCCTTTTAGAAATAACTTTTTTTTATGACTGTGAATAGAGAAACAGTTGTCATTCATGCTTTTCTGCAACCCAAGACCCGTAGATGAGACGCAGGTTCAATTCTAAAACAACTTTACTTTGCGTAGTTCATCTTCCATATTAAAAGCACGCTGGATTGTTGATTGAAAATCAATGAAATGGTATGGTCTAGGGTCTGTGTCCTCATTCTGCTGGTTTTCCTTTTATTTAGTTAAGAACAATATTCGTTTTTGTTTTTCTTGCAAACTAAATGCATATTTGATTTTAATTTTACATTAAAATAAGCCTTTTGGGCCAAAATATCTCAACAGATTTCATCTATAAGGTTTTCTTAAAAAAAATAAAAAATAATCATAAGGTACTGGTCATCTCTTATGGATCCACAAGCTATGTTTCCACCCCAAATCATGAAGCAAAATATTTAGAATTGCAGATGCGCTACCATAAAACAACTATGACTTAATAATTAAGAATTATGCAGTAATACTCATTCAGTCTTTGTAGTTATCAAATGCTCTAGTTATCACATTTAGGAATTAAAAGCAACAGTATTATTTTTAACATATTTATAAAGGCAGGAGACAAAAACATCTGATAAAAAAAGGAATGAACACAAAAAGAAAGAGTACACATTTGAACTGAAATTTTTCATTCATTATATACATCTGGTTACAATCAAGATTTCTCTCTGTGAACACAATTGTCTCTGCACGAGCAACACAGTATGGGCTTGGCTTCAGCATCAGTCATCCAACAAAGTACAAGAACACCCTATAACAAAAATAAAAAAATTTGATTGTGTGAATCACCTCACTCCATGACCATTATAAAAAATATCAGCTTTATTTCTCCAACAAATTGCTACAGTTATGTAATTTGTGCTATATATACTCTTTGGAATTGGTGATGAATTAATGTCAGTCCTAAATTGGCATCATGCTCTTCGTGCTCTATGATCACAACGTCTATGTCTTGAAGTTATTGCAATGCCACCTAACTGTGGAGAAGGCTTGGCACTGGCAAGTAGAGACTCCAGCAGAGAATCACAACTACTGTTTGCAGAATAGACTAAAGCAGCAAAAAAGTTCAGAAAACATAAAAATTAAAATAAATGACCCACTAAGAATTAAAATAAAAAAACATAAAAACAGAGGACTATAAACAATACGCTAATAAACATTTACAACTTGAGACAATATTGTTTACATTTAATGCTTTTTCAATTCCTGGAACGAGTGACCCAATGTGATCTGCAACCTTTGCTTTAACACCTCACAGGGGATCCTCACAGTTGTTCCTAAAAACGTGCTACGGAATGATGCTATCAATTGTACCTACATGAATGCTAATAAGTTAAGCTTATAGATTTTAGAGAAGTACCAACAAATCAGACCCCATTATTAACCACAATCAACCACAATGTAAGAATACACTTTTAAGGTCAATCAAAGTGCACAAATGCGTCAGTGTTAAAAAATTTAAATTGGTATTTCAAAATTAATAATTTATTAGGAATGAGGACCTTAATTTAAAACATTTGCATCATTTCATTAAGGGTT